CTACTAGCAATGGCCTCCAACCCAAAAGCCTTTGTCACTAGTACTAGTAGTAATGGCCTCCACCCTACTAGCGATGGCCTCCAACCGCTGCGAGGAGGTCATTGGGGGTGCTGCCGCACAACTGCCTGTTGGCACCTTCAAGCCGATGGATCGGATCGTTGCGGTGGAAGGCGTGTGCTCGGGCTGCGGCGTGTGGAGCACTGCCCTAAACCAAGTTGCCTCTGGGACCCAGATAGGGACCCTATTTCTAACGGGACCTATTTCATTGAGATTTGTATAGATTTGTCAGCAATGTATTTGCTGGAGTACAGGTTAGGATCAGTGAACATTAGCAATGTTAAATTGCCCACAATGGCCCACATGAGCAACACGTTTCGTCATCATACTTGGCCAACCACGATCCCAGTCAAAGACATGCAAGAGTCTTAACAGGTGGAGAATTCATGGGGTTTCATATATGTATATCAAATATATTATGTGGCGTAGTTGCTTCAGCCATCCCTGAACCAGCCACTGGAACGTTTGATCAAGCGGCATTGGACAGCTTCAGTGCAAAATGAATCAAGTCGACACTTCCCTCGGTGTTTACAGTGACAGTGCCTCGAGTACATATTGGTCCAAATGTTTTGAACATTTGCACAGGCCAAGAGGGGAACGCAAAGATGTTCGAGTTGATCACGTCTGTGCCGAGTCCAAGCATTCGGGTGTACCTTGGCCATAGATTTGTCTCCCAAACTGCCAGCTGCGTTGCCCACAAAGCTTGTATAGTTCCCAGATAGCACTGCTGATGGAGTATGCCCGGAGGGGGTGGAGATGACATGTGCACCTTATGATATCTTATGATAGTTTGTTTTTTTTCATGTCATGTTGACTAGAACGTGGTTTCCGTCGATCCCCAAGCTCGCTGTCCATGTCCATTGGCTACTGTAGATCATCGTTAAGCAGAACTACACAAGCTGACAAGCAAGGTCAATGGCCCAAACAAAGCAACATTATTTTCACTAGAGATAGCATGAAGCCGACAAGTGAAGATTTTGCTAAATCATGCCACATGGGAAGAGTCAAGGTGTCAGCTCGAAAGAAAGATGGGCAAGGTCCACAAGTCACATCAAGTCACAAGATGTTGAAATTGATTTCCTGAGGTCCGCTGCTTGCCAAATCGTGGTCACCCCACACAATCAAGCCTCGTTTCCAAACCAAGGTGCTCCTATGGTGTGTAGAAACACCTGGTGAAAAATGGTGATGCTGTGACGGCAATGCTTGCGTGTCAATGTAAGGTTGATTGGGCCCAAACAAAACTGAGATCTCTCATTCTCACGCGTCCATATGTATTTTTGAAAAGGCACTCTGCTTGCCGCCACGTTTGCCGCATGTTGGAGCAAGTAGCTCATGATCTCATGTAAGTCCTAGCCTTTCAGACTCTGAGATTTGAGCCCTCGTGACAACAAAGATCTAGACTTTCGTGACACGCGATACAAACTCTTTGTTTCTTTGGGCTCAGAAGTCTTTGCGGAACTCGACTGAAACATCCAGTAGGCGTTTGCCTAGATTCGTTGGCGTTGATTGGAGATGACTACTATCAGTCTCTCCGTGCTATTTCTCCATGCCCCAAACGGGCCTCTGAACAGAACGCACAGTAAAATGAAAGATCTCACCTTTGGGAGCATGGGGGAGAGAATTATCATGACGTTTTTCTGCCGGCCGTAATTGTTTGTTTGCATTGGCCGGTCTTACACGCTGGGAGGGCGCAAAGCGCCTCTATCTCTAAACTGATAGCTCACTTGAGCAAAAGCAAAGCTGATTCCAGGGCGCATGACGTGGTTGATGACGACCCTCACATCGTTTGCCCATGACGCGGTGTAGGTCTTGAGATGAATTCGCACCAGGACTTCGCGGTCCTTTCATGCTCCATAAACATGGTCTGCCCAGAATTGGTTTCACGTTCGACCATCGTGTGACACAGTTGGCGTTGATCCACAGATACTGAAAAGGAATGGCCACAGGTACGTGCAGCCAAAGTAGTCACTATATGTCATTATGAGTTTCCGTCTCGGCATTCCTGCTAGTGGCCGATTGACCATTTGATGGCATGTTGTTAGGAGATCCAAAACTGATTCCAGAAGATTCCAGAAGTCAGTGCCGTGTCAGACCCGATCTGATTAGAATATCAGAATAACTTTGTTGTTTGGGGATGGTTGGGGTGCATCATTTGGAATGCTGATGCTTCTCCTAGATTGCTAGGAGCAAGGGCGCTACTAGGAGCCCCCTGTTTTGCACCGTGGTCTGGTGCTTTGCTGAGTCCCACTGGTCCTATGACTCACCGCAGGAAGCCGCCCTCTTCACGGGGGAGTTGCTGGAGATGTCCGGATGCTTGGAGAAACATGGAATCCTTGCTGCCGAAGGTCGTTCTTGGAAAAAGATAGTGGAGACATGTGGAGAAATCTGGAACGGTCGTATGTAAAGCACATGTTCTCAGAGGATTGCAAAATGATATGCCTGAGGATTTTGGTTCTTCAGACTCATCCTCAGGCATCACCCACAAGAACGATTATCTATCATCATCAATGCTGGTTGCAAGGCTCCGAAGGTCAGAGTACCTCTCTTAGCCTGAAGTGGGTCAGTTGGTTTTTATTGGGTCCCCATTCAAGAGGTATATACTTTGAACTTTCAATAGTCCAGCCGAGTCAGAGGTATGAGCGCTTCGCAGACCTTCGAGGCTGGCAATTTGAGGCGCTGTTGAAGTGGGTGCTTGGGTCAGAATTTTGACGCTTGACTCAACCCAGCAGTTGCTAGAATTCAGGTGCCTTGCTATCGAAGGGTGCTCAGGTTTCATAGCAAATCTGAATATGCCTCGTTCGATCTTTTGGTAGGTGGAGTCCATGACGGAAGGACAGCCTGAGGGAGCAGTGAATTTTGCTTCAGTTCCTTGGCGGAAGCGCACAGAGATCCTTCAGCGTTGAGTGACGGGGATGCGTTTTACTTATTCGCCAGAAGGGCAAACAGCCAGCGGTTTGCAAATTGTCACCAGACTCAGAGATTTAACCGACAGCAGCAAGCTATGCTAACATCGGCATGTTTTTGCTAACTGCTAGCGGAGGCTCAGCCGGCCCCTGTGTTCAATACATGTTGCATGGTATCGGGTATATACTTGTTTGCAGTTTGCAGCCTTCATGTCGATTCTGTTTTTTTCCATATCAGCTGATTAATGTTCTTATTGTGTTTTTTTTCGGTTCGTGTTGCGTTCAACTTTTGAAAACGGTTCATGTTCTTGTGTGTGTGTGTGTGTGTTTGTGTGGGGGTGGGGGTGGGTGGGGGAAAAAACATAAGAAGGGGGATTCTGGAGAAGTGGGGAGGGTTGTTACCTGTTATGTGTTCTTGTTCAACTCATTTTGCAAAGTTTCTTGTGTTTTGTGGGCTTCTGAACTTATACATCCATTTGATAAGAACATGTTAACAAAAACTTCACCTTCAATACAGCATCTTCCAAACTCAATCTCAAACGGTGCAAATCAAGAGAAACTGCATCTCTGAAACAAAACACAAGTGCTCAAATTGTATAGAGTCTAGAGGCAGAGTGTGGTTCACTGTGTGTCCTCCTTTCTATGACATGTCCTTTGTCATGTGTATGTATATTTGCAATTGTTTGCATATCAGAGCTATTCAAAAAAGAATGGCCCGTGTTATGGTCGTCATGAGCTGGTTGATTTCTCATCCTGCTCAGTTTGCTTTAAGCACTAGCAGCAACCTATTATTGCATGCCACCCACAGAGGAACTGCAAGAAAACACACCGCCATTGGTGACACCTTGCTTTACAATGCTAATTCAACACCTTCATCCATAAAACTATAAAACTATATAACTGCTTTCAAACGCCTCCAGCACATGTTGAAAGGGCTTGGTATGTACCCTTTTTCGTATTTTTCCATCCTTCTTCCAATCCAACCTGTTCGAGAACGCTGTCGAGTCATATCCTTGAAATTGATTGAGTCTCAGAGTCTCAAAGCAAGAGTATGAAGTGCAAAAAAAGTCCAGCTCCGAACCCCCTAGACCCCGACTCCGATAGAGATATATAGAGATGCATTGAGATTCGGTGATTTTGTTCGGCGTTAGCTAGTCAATTCGTTTGAGGCTTATTTGTTGTGCGCTGTTGTTCTTTTTCTTGCCACAACTTGCCAAAGGTGCGAATTTCCGGCAGTCATGAGGAGAGACCAGGGCCTAGTGCCTTGGTGGGTAAAATTTGTTGTAGTGATTCTAGCTGGCCATGATGCAAGTCTATATAGCTAAAGGATGCTAAAGGCATGCAAAGTTTCTGCTCCGATAAAGAGCAAAGTGTATCCGATGTAGTGTCTATATATTGTATTTGGAAGATTGGTCAAAACCTTTTGAAGAACGATTCCTCCAGTGAGGACAAAACAAAACATTGTCAAAACCAGTGTTATTCTCGAAACGTGACCATGGTGCCAACGTCGAAAACATTTAAGAACCTATGTAACATGGATTTTTGTCGGTTTTTGCAGCTTCAAACACCACGGTCCTGTGATTAGCTCACATTGGCTCTTCCCCGAGCTGGCAGGAGAACGCTCCCTTTGGATGGTTGCGACACGAGTCTGGAGTTCATCGGGTTCAGCGTATTCCGGTCACTGAGAAGAAGGGCCGCATGCAGACCTCAAGTGTGTCAGTGGTGCTTTTGCCCGTGGCCGAAGAAGCAGATGTGTCATTAGCAGCTCTCTTGCAATGGTCAGTGGCATACCCGGAATCTAACAAGATGACACTGTCAACCATTGCTTAAAAGACTGTTCAGAGCTATCCTGTGGGGTCAGCCCCACATTTGATAGTGAAGGAGGTGTTTTTGGCATGGCACGCAGAATCACACATGGAATACATAATAGATGCTTTGACCAGTGGATGAGTTGGATTTGGTGATTTAAATGCAATGCATTTCAATCAATGCGTCGCCGAGGTACACCAACTCAAAGCACATGTACATAGTAAAGACGGAGGTCCACAATGATTCTTGTGGTTACTCTTAGGTGAGGTACGTTCAGGTGTCAAGTTAATTGTATGTATGTCATGATGTTTCATAGACTTGTGAGGACCGTCACTGCTATCCAACTACTGCATGATGTAAATAATGTTGATACCATGCTAAGTATAGTGCGTTTTGGTGGACAGGGACCTTGCTGTCATTCTGTGTGGGTGTTTTTTGGCCAAGCACTAAGCCAGCAGAGCTGTGGATTCAACGGAGCTAAGGCACCTGGAGACGTGCGAGTGGAAATTAGCAAGAAGTCTTCAGGCCCTGGTGGCCAGAGTGTTAATGCAGCACACCAGGCCGTGAGGGCAACACACATTCCCAGCGGACTTTCAGTGCTATGTACAACTTCCCAGTCGCAGTTCGAGAACAAAACCAGAGCCTCGGACAATGATGAACCAGATGAGGAAGAGTCTCAAGGGAGATAATGGAAGATAGAAGCTACGCTCCTGACTCAAATAGCAACATGACCACGGAAATCCCTTGAAACTGTCCATGAAGATCTACCGAGTTCCTTTGGTAGTCATGTCAGCCATATGATGCCTTTTGTTGAGGCGTTTCTTGCATGTCTTGTTGGCTGCCTGGTTCGTGAGGAGCTCTGGAGCTTCTCCGGACCAAGCTCTTAGATCAACAGCTCTCAGCCCAGCGCAGCTTCGAGCGCTCGGAGCGGCAGCAGCAGAAGGGGAGCGGCGATCGCTCCGAGAAGATCCGGACGTACAACTTCCAGAGGGACGAGGCGACTGCGCATTGGGGTGATCCATCGGTGTGTTTTTCGACAGTGCATTTACCCATCCTGCTCCACAGGTTTTAAAAGGATTGCGATGTAATGGATATGATATGACGGCTTTTTGCATGCGGAACAAGACAGGAACTGACTGAACGATTTAGTTTGATTTAACGACAGAATTAGATACAAGATTATGACATGTCCCAAGGTGTGGGTGGGTATTCAACCCTATGTTGAGCATATGTGGGTTGGGCACCTGCAATGCAACTTGGTTTTGCAGAAGTGTCACATCATTGCCTGGCTAGCTGTTCTACGACGCACAAAGCTACACAAAGTACTACCCAAATGCCACAGCACCGACCACAAAATCCAAAGGCTTAGCCAGCCTGAAAGCAGGAAGCAAAAGTTTCAATGACCACCTGACATTGAGTAGTGCCCTCAACGTCAATCCACAGAGTTAGTTCATTGGAGAAAGGACCGTTTGTCTAGCAAGCGACTGCAGAGACTCCAGACAGTCAACCACACCAAACAGCACAAAAGTCAGAAGGACCCAGCCTCTAGTACACGCTAGTACACGTGAAGGGTGTGTTCTCGAGTCCTACTAGTACCCTTTTCCTACCGTTTTACTGGTTTTACTGAACAAATGTAATGTGGTTGATGCCCAAACGGTTTGCCCAACCCAACCCTTAGAGCATTCAACAGGGGTCTTGTACCATAAGTGCTCATCTCCTATATATTTTTCTATGTGTTTTATCTTCTTGTTCTTTTTTGTTGCCATTCCTGCAGGTGGTAGATCATCGGTTGCCCAAGGAGCAAGGGGCTGGGCATTCGGCCAGTGAGGTTCTCTTTGGGAGTGGCCTGGACGCTTGGCGGGAGGGTGCAAGAGGTGGCTAAGAGGTGGCCATACGCCGTGGGATGGGCATCTTAAAATGTGGGAGTCTTAAAACGTCAACCAGGTCATGGACAGATGCTGCGACTATTCCTAATTGATATTGTTGGAGGTCATTAACCTGTACAGAGCAGCTTGGGGCTAGCAGCTAGGTTGGTAGAGGGATGATGAGGGATGCATTCGCGACGGCCTACTAGAGGCCTTCTTGCTCTCAGGAAGCCATCCTCCTGGCTCACAAGAATGAGACACGATTGCATCATTTGGGTCAAGCTGTCGAGCTGCTGAAAGAACACGTGTTGGAAAAAAGAGCGTGAGGAGCAGAGTAGCTGTTTTCTAATCAATCATTTGTGGTTGTTGGTAGGTTCATTGGGACATCCCCGGGTTCTGTGTGGAAAAAACATAGACGACCAATCGTAGGGCAGCGGATAATCGCTTAAAGATAGTGTGGGCAGAAGTAGAGGCAGCTTGCTTCTATTCTTTGAAGCCACCCGATGATCAGACTTGTGTCGTTGATCGCTTGGGTAATTAGGTCTGTCTTGAGAGGTCATTTGGGTCGGCATTGCATTAATTCCGATGAACGAACGGCTCCGCAGCCAATAAAGTTGATTACGCCCTGCTTGAGCTTGTGGCTTTAGATGATGTGGCCGCTTGGCAGCGACCTGCTTTGGATGGTGGCTCTAGCATACTGCAGAGTTTTGGAGTTGAAGAGTTTGGCGTGGCTGCGGAGCTTTTGAATTGAGCCGCCATTGACTTTGTAAAACTCTGCAATCATGAGTCTTTGTAAAGCTTTGTAAAACCCTTGTCACGAGTCTTCAATTTACTGTATGTAGATCATGGCATGAACAGATGCTTTGAACATGGGTAATATGGGTGAACCCGACAGTTTGTGCATAAAAAGGGATATGCAGCCGCAGCCAAGTCCCTCTTTGAGACCTCAGGTGTTGCTGCAATCACGCGGAGGGAGAAACAAGTGCTGACAAGGCCACAACTGGACAGGAGAAGCACATTGGATGGGACACAGTTCTCAGACTCATTTCTTTTCAAATGACGAAAAACACAAATTGTGTATTGAAACTTAAACCACCAAACCCACCAAACCTCAAACCACTTGGCTTTTGGTAGAAGGGCAGGTTGAGTATTTGCACAAACAAGCCCACAAAGCAAAACTACTATAGGTCCATAGAACATCGATGTTTACGTAGCGAGCATCCTTTAGAGACCGACAGAAACTATCAGAAGCCACAGCCGCGATGATGTTAGGTCAAATAGCAACATGCCTGCTCTTGCCATTGTGCATGCTGTTTTTGTTTCGCTTTGTTGACTGTAATTTTGGACGTTTCAACAACATTCAACGGCGTGTATCAGTTTGGGTAGCTGGTAGTGGGCTACAGCATATTATTCCGTCAACGTACACCTGCAAGATCTTTTGGCTGGGGACTGCCCAAAAGAGTTCCCCAATAGGATTGTCATTCAGGTTCATGACCTTTGGGAACATTTTGAAACAGCTTACAGGCTCACAGGCTGACTTCGGAACTGACTCTTCATGCCTTCGGATTCACAGGATTCACCTAAAATAGATTCGGGTTTCACCAGGCAAACTTGCCGATTCACAGCTCTGTGGTCACCGAGCCTGAGCTTCAAGAACCGGTGGAGGAGCCCATGAGTCTTCCAACTCTTGCAGAGCAATTGGTATAGCTACTAGTAGCTTCTTGGTACTAGTAGTAATGCCCTTGTTACTAGTTGCGATGACCTTGTTTCTACTAGCTTCTAGATTGAATGTGTTTGACTCAAAAACTTCGACACAGGGGGCCTTTCAGCCTCTCTCAGCCTCAGCCCAAGCTTTCCCCAAGGTCTTCGCAGCCTGAGCAGTCCCTAAATGTCCCTGATGTTTCAACATGTGTTGGCACAAGAATACATTTACAGTTACATTTATATATATATATACATCATTCAATAATTGACTATTGTTTACCACCGCATGATCTAGGCTTGCTTCAACATGTCATCGTTGTGGCTGTACTTTGAGGAGCAAGATGAAGAGACCATTCGAAAGCTTAGTGACCCTGTCTCAGCGATGGCCCAACCAAAGGCGCAGAACAATGGCTTTTGGGAAGGTCAATTGAATTTCAGAATTCATTCCCTAGTAGCAAATAGCCCCTAGTATTGTCCTTGTTCCTAGTAGTAAGGCCAGGAGCCCCTACAAGCGTCCTTGCTCCTGGTAGTAAGGCCAGGAGCCCCTAGTAGCGTTCTTGCTCCTAGTAGTAAGGCCAGGAGCCTTTAGTAGCGTCCTTGCTCCTAGTACGTAGCAAGGCCCCGAGCCCCTAGTAGCGTCCTTGCTCCTAGCGCCTAGTAGTAGCGTCCTTGCTCCTAATAGTAAGGCCAGGAGCCCCTAGTAGCGTCCTTGCTCCTAGTAGTAAGGCCAAAGCCTTGATAAATCAGCTGCCCGGACTGACGAAAGAGTAACAGTAGGAACCCCAATATCCAACAATAAGATACTGGTCAGCTGGTGCCCCGTGCCCTTTTGAACAGAGACACATAGAACGTTGGACGCGAGAGCATTTCAGCATTGTTTGTAGACGCGCCATTTATGTTGCTGGAGCCGAGCCTTTATTTGCCAACTTGTGAAGTTTGATGGTGCTTATCATGGATTACTGTGAACGCCTCAGTTGTTCGGCATCTCAGCTGAGTTCTGTTGCAAAAAGCCCACCCCTTAACCGCAGAGGACTTACCAACCAGTTAGGATTGTCATGCAACATCACAAAGACCTAAGCCTAAGTCTGTCCTCTCATAGAAGCAGACAACGGTTCGTGTGGATGGGACGGGACAGAGGGGCAACAGATTTCATGTGGGGTACCCTATTACTTATTGAATGTTCCCTGCCTTAGGGAAATTAACCCGGGTGACTACTGAGTCTCGGATTATTTTTTTTGGATTAATTTTCCTCGATGGTGGGATTTTGGCTATAAACCTGTATAACCATTCTGGAAATTAATCCTGCTATTAGATTTGTAGGTTGAGAGTACTGTGGATTAATTTTGAGATGTGAAGGTGTGAGGAATATTTATCATGAGGTGATGCAGAAGTGGAGCCACCCCTGGATTATTTTCTATCACCGGTTGTACCAGCTGGATTAGATTCCAGGGCTAGAGCCTGCTGGCTTTAGCCAGCTAGGAGTTTTATTGTTGTTCCAGCAGGGTTGGAACAATGAAGTTTATCCAGGAGATGTTCGGGAAAGAAAAAACAACAATACTTTTAAAAACAATACCCTGTCTCCACCATCTGGGTTCTTGTTAAAGGATTTTGTCTAAATCCTGGTCAGACCAGAAAAACTAAGGAAAGAACTAAGGAGACTCAGGAATTA